GGTCAAGGACATTGGACATGTGACTGACGGAAACTTCGTAACATGAGGCATCCATATACAAAGTATGAAGCATCCAGGTCTTCCATCTTCTAAAATATAAAGCTTTTAAGAAGTTAGCTAACGCCGCCGCCGCCGCCGCCGTAGCCGCCGCCGGATCGCTATCCCTATGTCGAGCTTTCTGCGACAAAAGTCACAGGCTCAACAAAAATCAGTTTTATCGGATAATTCATCTAACAGAATCTGGGATCATGGGTAACCAAAAGTTACTCACTTCATATCTCTTACAGGGTAATTTAAATGGAAATAATTTGTATTTTAACCTCTTATTTAAAACTCGTTAGGGGATACAGGGAAAAGAACTTGAAATTGAATACATGAACAAATCATACATTTTCATACATCAGTCAAAACATAAGATCTACTCTAAAACTCACAAGAAATCTTAAATATGTTAAAAACCAAATTCAATATAAGCACAATCAGAAAAGATAAGAACGTGTTAATTCTGTTTGAATAATGTCATGACACAAATATCTAAATTATAAATACATATACTTAATGTGTGTTTTAATAGACTACTCCATAAACAATGTTAACACCAGTTAAATGCAGTAATTGCCTCATCTTTAACGGTAATCAAACTTTAACTTACTTGCTTTGAGAAAACTGATCAAAATCATCCTGTAAACCATTTTTCTGTAATACTTCCCCAATTAAGAACCCTGAAGCAAAATCTCGAGAAAATGTTGCTTGTTCTGTAAAAAGATAAATGTTAATGTAACTTGTAGGTTCGAAACTATTAATATATAATTAGTAATTAATAATCAATATTTTTCATTGCAGACCTGTTTTATTAAAAAGAAGTAAATGATTCATAGATATATGAATATTAATTTTTTATGTGGACATTTTGGAGTAGTGTTCACATAACATATATGAAAATAATCATGTACATGTACCAATACATGTACATGATTTTCCAACTGGTGCTTTTTCCTGGAAAAAATTGACATCACAAAGTAATTATCTCACCTCACCATGTCCTATGACAAGTTTCCCCCGAATGACCCCAGGTCAACCGGGGGCAGTTCAATCATAATATTGAAATTGGAAACTTGTTGATGGTGTCTACACTTGCATATACATTTCTTTTGAAAGTAAATACATAACATGATGTTTCATAAGATTGAATCATTAAAAATATATTACAAAAATTGATTCTTCTCATTTTTAGTTTTGTGGGGTTTAAAAAGCATTGGCAGCACACAAAGGTTAGGATCATGGTTTTGCTATATCGTCAATGATTGTAAGTTCATTATGCTTGCAAGTTCGTGACATTTGGGGATTTCCTCTTTAATTGTGACATCATGCATAATTATTTATCATCAGCAACGTGCTACTTCAAAAAATTTAACCGTATATTTCTCATTGCATTTTCACTAATATCAGCTTGAATAAGAGAAGTTGAGTATGTTCTTGCATATTATTTGTTTAAACGTCTATTTCCACTATTACTGTTATTCCTCTCCCAAAATTTAGTTGAGTTCTTGGGAAAATCAATTCAGCAATGTTATTGACATCTTAACAATGAGTCATCATCTATTTTTAGGTTATGTGGTGCTCTTTTCCCTTTTTTAAGGCCATGGTTTTTTTTTTAAAGTCTGTATGTGAGCGGATTTTTTAAGGTCAGAAAATGATTTGATATATTTTGATAAATCAAAACCTGCCGAATATTGGCTCGTAAAAGTAATTTAATCCTATGCCATTGAATGCAAATTGAATGAAAAATAGTTTGATGCATTAATGACATTTTGACATCGTTATAGTTATCTTAAACGTGTTTAAAGTGTTTAATTCTGGACTTTCCAATTGACCATTGAAAGTCATGTGTAAAAATTAGAATAATTGTTGTAGGGAGAATAAAAAAGTTAGTATATCCAAATTTCTCTTTTTTCGAGATATTCATTTGTTATTTGATCTCAAAATTATTCTGTAATGTTCAAATACATAATACAATAGGCCTGACCTATATATTGTTGCACATGTGCAAAAGCCACCGTCCAAGACAAAGGTCATGAACTTACAAATATGTCTACTTATTTTTCGGAATCGGGTCACAATACAAAACGATTGACCAAGTTTCTGAAGCTATTCATCAATTAAGTGTATCAGACTGTTTGCAAATAAGTAAAGAATATTTACATTCACAGTGGATAATATTTGCTCGAAGGTTGTGATTTTTTTCTTCGGTTTCAGGTTAGGGTAACGAACTTCCAATCATTGAGGATATATAATTTTTACATGACAACTTTCTGTAACAAGAGACTGAAGAGTTGACCTTGATCATTGTATCTTTTGTTTCAGTCTTTGCCATTTTTTTTACTAGGTTGATTGAGTAAACAGGTGTTAAAATCAACTTTAGTTGTATCAATCTATTGTCGAATACTGTACCTAGACAGCGGAGCGTCTTTTTACCACAGAACACCACAGAATACCACAGAATACCACAGAACACTCAAAATATACCACAGAACACTCAAAATATACCACAGAACACTCAAAATATACCACAGAACTGCACACATTACAATAAAACTACTGAAATATATCACAGAACATTAGAATTACTTTATAAAATGCAAATCTAATAATTCAGAATTACATTATTTCTTTAATTCGGGTTACACCAATGACATGACGATTGACTGGATGAGATAAAAAATTATCATATAACTTTTTTGTTATTTGGCATATTTTTACATTTGGAGACCTTTGAGACACTAAACTAATGCATTATAACAGAGACATATAATACAATTATATTATATGTCTCTGATTATAATAATGAAAATCTAAAATAAACATTTAAAAAAATGGTTTACAATATTTTTTCGTGAAATTAAGAAATCTACGATTTTATTCAATATGTTGTTTAACAATAAAAACTTTATATAAATAAAACATGTTTTTTCTACAAAAAAGTTGATCTGACGGATTTTACCAGCGAATATTACGCTACGAATAATATTGATCTGATCGACAGAAAGTGCTAATATGCTAATATCGCTTTTTCTTTTAACATTTTTTCATTAAATTAAGAAATCTGCGAGATTAATGAATATTTTATATGAAAATATAACCTTTATAGTAAAAAAAAAATTCTACAAAAAAAGTTGACCTGACGGATTTTACCGTCGCGAATCACGCTATATATATATGAACAATATTGACTTGATTGGCAGGAAGAGTTAATATTTCTCATATGTAACTATTTTTTCTGTGAAATTCATAAACCTATAAGACAATAGTTTTTAATTTTTCAACTAAAATGATGGTTATCAGATCATCGGCTCACATTTTAATCATGAATTTTTATTATTATAAAAATTGTATTCTTGAAATTACTTGACAATAGTTAGAACAGGAAGACTGATATCAACATTCTATTTAATATAATATATATATCATTAATAATGGAAAATTTACAAAATTCTTCATTGTTTGGATTCTATGCCACCTGATTATATAAGGTAATTCAATTAAATTTATTTGATGTCTCAGGTGTGAAAACTTAAATGACATGTTAATTGGCTTGATTGGTGATTACGACAAGTGTCAAAATTGGTTAATCTAATTAAATTTTGGTACTTTAATTGTGTCGGTGAACTTACTAAGGTCAACATTAATTATGGACTCTAAAGTATAGAATCTTTATGTAAATGCTACATATACATGTACCAGTTTTTTCGATATAAAGTTTCAGTTCAACGATTTCTAAATGCATACAAAATTTGGTAAAAATCCGAAATATTGTCAAATGATTGGAGAAGATACACACACAACATAAGAATCCAAAAACAGTCATCGAACTTGAACTTTTTGACAATTAAAAAGACACACTTAAAATATGTTATTAGTCAACTCAAATATTACGGTCCTACAACAACTTCAGATATCTTTTTAGAAAGTATTTGCCGGTAGCCCTTAACACAGGATTGTTTTATATATAACTCTAATGGAGAAAACTTTGATGTACAAACATTAGCCAAGTTTAAATAATTGTTTGAAACAACTCTTGATAGCAGCTTAACTAATTACTTTAATCACTTTAATAAAGTTGATTTATTTGTTGACAACAAATTTAATTGAATGTCACATTAACCATTTTGATTATTTATTGTAACAACTCTTAACACAACATTAATAAAAAAAAGTTACCAAAAAAACTGGTAAACAAAATAAATTTAACAAATAATTACGTAATGCATCTAAACATTTTCAAAAATGATTTAAAATTACAAAAAAGATAAAAATGTATTTAAAATATAAATGTCACAAATATAAATAATCTTTGTATATTATGGTTTTAATAGCTAGGGGTTTTTGGTATGATCCCAATTATTGGCCATTCAGTTGGGGGCGTAGCGATAGTGAGTCGACCCTAAATAGAAAAATTAAATTTATTTGAATAATAAATGTCAAATTACAAAAAGAATGATCAATAACACGGTAATAATGTCTGAAGTATTAATATTTCGAAGTTCTGTGGTAAATTTTGGGTGTTCTGTGGTGTTCTGTGGTAAAAAGACGCTCCCCCTAGACAGGTGCTACCTGATGATCGAGCTCCTTAGTGCAAGTTTGCCAATAGAAAAGTCTTAGGAATATCTGGAACTTACCAACTTTTTGGGACAAAGTAAGCTCATCATTGAGCCATCCGCATAAAATATCTGTCATTTTCGTTTATTTAATATGGAAAGCACGCAAAAGACATTAAAATTATTCATTCACAAATCAGACAACCATTTTGACGCACCGTTCTTCACCAAGGTAACCAAGTCAAACTCATTTGAAACGCCCCTTCTGATTGGTCTGTTAACATTTAAATTATATTGTCGCAAATGACAAGTTAATTATTCGACCAAGATGAATGACTACAAATGTTGCAAAATTTCAGAAGTATTTTTTTTATAAACAAATATATTCATCTATAACAAACATTTTCCTTTTATGACTCCCGAAAGTGAGATTACAGGATATAGCGCAATACCGGGTACAACACCGGGCACTTGTCAAGTTAAAAATGTTCCACAAACCGTTTAAAGTCAAAACACAGACAGCAATAAAAGGTTCAGAAAGGTAAATCTGATCACAGTTTTTTTCAAACTTATGTCGTCTAATAAATTAGAATGAGACAGGTGCTACCTGATCAGCTCCCGAAGGTTATTAGGGAAATAATAGATCTTTAATAACAGATGCAAGACATCTCGGCCTGAAGATAACTCTAGACGACAACTCTGACTATCTATGAATACAACTCAGACCGTCAATAAGTCAACTCAGTCCGTCTATAATGCCAAACTCAGAGACAACATTTTAAAGCAATAAAGGAGAGTTTTGGCTATAATTACTGCTAAATATAACAATATAAAAACCAGGCTGGGAAACTGGGTATGCAAATGCTCACATTGAATATGTGCCGATACAGTGTGCTAAATACAACAAATATTCGGTTATTTTTGACATGTATTTCTGAACTAGTGAAGAAGAAACCTGTCTTTCGCTTATTCATCATGGTATTAAGCTTCCTTGAAGTTGTAAATAATAAATCGAGACATAACTCGTCAACGCAACGTTCTATTTAAAAATGGAAGCAATTATGACCAAATTTTGACAAAAACAACTATCATGACTTTATCTTTTAAATAGACATTTTAAGTCATGACAGATTTGATATAGATTTTAGTTTTCATTTGCCTCATGTGCAACTTGATGATAAATGGTACCAATGTATTCTTTTATAAAATTTATATCATTTTCTAAATGTTGAAAATAAATTTTTTTAAATAATTGGCAATAAGAAACTACCACACTAAGTTGGCTCATTTTATTTTCAACAAACTGATAATTAATCAAACACACAAGGAAACTAATTAACAGCTATCTGTTTGATGATAACATTTCTACCCATGATTCCATAGTTGAAAAACAAGATTTGGTAGGACCACCTATAGTGCTTTCCACTGATAATGGTGACAGTCAGTGATCTGCCAGCTATATAGTACAGCTTGCACACTTCCCCTAGTAATGGACTTCTAATATAACTGATAATTTAAGTTTGTTCAATGACTAAAGATTTTAATTAAGAGATAGAATCAACATGAAATTTGGATTGACATTAAACTAATTATTTTAGAGCACTGCATTTCATTTACAAATGTAGCAAGGTATAAGGGATACTTGTAATATAGCATTTAATCATTTAAATATCACAAACTCTATCATGTCTATGTTTATACTTTGTCTGAGTTGGCATTTTAGATAGTCCAATTTGACTTTATAGACAGTCTGATATAAATAAGAAGATGTGGTATGAGTGCCAATGAGACAACTCTCCGTCCAAGTCACAATGTGTAAAAAGTAAACAATTATAGGTCAAAGTACGGCCTTCAACACAGAGCCTTGGCTCACACCGAACAGCAAGCTATAAAGGGCCCCAAAATGACTAGTGTAAAACAATTCAAACAGGAAAACCAACAGTCTAATCTACAGAAAAACTTGTATAAACCGGCCAGCTATGGGACTATGAAAACGGGCCGGTTTGGACAGAGGGCTGGTTTATTCAGGTTTCAGTTTTGATTTTGCAATTTTTCCATTTCTAAAGGGGCATAACTCTAGAATGGTTAAAGTGACGCCACCAAAATTCAAATTTGATCTGTGTTTTGTGCAGGAACATATATATTGACGGGACTTGACACTACCTGATTGTAGTCGATTTTATCGTCGTGCCATAGTTAATAAAGATACGATACAGAAACGGACATGTGTTAAAAACGGACTCGCTATTATCCTAATAATTTCTGATATTATCAATAAAATGTCATTCAAACTAGTTTTATAGTGATGCTAGTGTATCAAACTTGTATTCTGTCACTTCAAATTTGTTAAAATCGCAAGCATTTCATCACAGAATTGTGCAGAATGCAAACAAGGTAATAAAAAAATGGCGGCCATTGCGGCGATGATTTACAAATTCCCAAACTATTATAAAACACTTCACATCAAATAAATCAAACTTATTTTGGTAATTTTATATGACAAAATATATCTTCTAAATGATAAAACTTGTATTTATTTACAATTAGAGTTATGTGGTTTATTTGTTGAGCAGTTCTGATAGTTTTTCAGTCAGACGCTGCCAAAATCCGTAAATCTCGGGAAGTCTTGGGGAGTCCGAGATTTTATCAATTTTATACTGAAAAGCGTATCAGATTCATTTCCCGTTAGATATACTGTTCCCAGGTTTTGTGGTAATAAGCATTGTGTATAAGTTTCATAACATTTGGTCGTGGCAAACTTAAGTTTGACATTGGAAACGAAAAATTCAGCATTTTTTCCATTTGTAAAGGGGCATAACTCTAGAATGGTTAAAGTGATGCCACCAAAATTCAAATTTGATCTGTGTTTTGGGTAATAAGCATTGTGTATAAGTTTCATAACATTTGGTTGAGGCAAACTAAAGTTAGAGAACGGAAACCAATTATGGGACGTACCTACTTACAGACAGACAAGGGTAAAACTTAATGCCCCCTCCGCTACGGCGGGGGCATAAAAATGTGGATAGTGTCCACATGTGGACACAGATTATGCCCCCGCTTGCATATCATATAGTTATAAAGGGACATAACTGAAGAACGGTAAAAGTGACGCTACCCAAATTTGAACTTGATCTGAGTTTTGTGGTAATAAGCATTGTGTGTAAGTCTGATAACATTTGGTTGAGGCAAACTTAAGTTTGAGATTGGAAACGAAAAATTCAGCATTTTTTCTATTTGTAAAGGGGCATAACTCTAGAACGGTAAAAGTGACGCCACCAAAATTCAAACTTGATCTGTGTTTTGTGGTAATAAGCATTGTGTATAAGTTTCATAACATTTGGTTGAGGCAAACTAAAGTTAGAGAACGGAAACCAATTATGGGACGTACGTACTTACAGACGGACAAGGGTAAAACTTAATGCCCCCTCCGCTACGGCGGGGGCATAAAAATGTGGAAAGTGTCCACATGTGGACACAGATTATGCCCCCGCTTGCATATCATATAGTTATAAAGGGACATAACTGAAGAACGGTAAAAGTGACGCTACCCAAATTTGAACTTGATCTGAGTTTTGTGGTAATAAGCATTGTGTGTAAGTCTCATAACATTTGGTTGAGGCTAACTTAAGTAGAGAACAGAAACTAAAAATTCAGCAATTTTTCTATTTGTAAACACGCATAACTCTAGAACAATTTTGGGACGTACGGTACGTACATACAGACGGACAAGGGTAAAATTTAATGCTCCCACCGCTATGGCGGGGGCATAACAAAATAAAAATGTGTACTATGTAAAAATGTTGGATTTACTTTGGTTCATAATTCTCAAATTATTTTCACTGTAAATACGTTTCCACTAAGCCATGCATAGTACAAGTGACTTAAACTTCAAGATGTTGAAGGCTGTCACTACAACATAGAAGTAGAAGAATATTTTCCTGCTATACTCAAATGAAACATTGGAAAATACAATTCTTCCCATACATCTTCTTGTATTTTCACCATTACTGGACATTACCGACTTTCCTAAACTTTCCTGAACTTTTTGACATCACAAAAGGAAATGTCTGCCACAAAAGAAAAGTGTATTTGAATGATAATAAATGATTAAATGTTATGTTTCACATGAAAGTATCCTTTTGGCTTTGCTGAATTTGCGAAAAATCATCAAAATAATTTGTTTAATGTGAAATCAAATTTCTACTTATCTCTATTTATTTATAGTTATAAAACTTAATTCTGCAAAAAATAAGCTGAGGGTGAATTTGTTTTATTTTTTGTTGCTGAATTCCTTATTATATATTTATTTTAGTTTTAATCTCATTGCATCTATTTTGGATTTGACCTACAGTCCATCAATAAATAAACTTATATTTAAATTTACCTGTGTACGTTACTTTACTTAACACCATTTTGTCCCAGGTTAAAGTTGTCTTTTTGACATTTTTCTACATCTTTTTTGTCGAGCCATCGACTTTAGTCGAAAAAGCGAGACATAGCGATCCTACATTCCGTCGGCGTCGGTGTCGTCGTCGTCATTGTCGTCGGCGGCGTCCACAAATATTCACTCTGTGGTTAAAGTTTTTGAAATTTTAATAACTTTCTTAAACTATCCTGGATTTCTACCAAACTTGGACAGAAGCTTGTTTATGATCATAAGATAGTATCCAGAAGTAAATTTTGTAAAAATAAAATTCCATTTTTTCCGTATTTTACTTATAAATGGACTTAGTTTTTCTGCCGGGAAATATTACATTCACTCTGTGGTTAAAGTTTTTAAAATTTTAATAACTTTCTTATACTATTTTGGATTTGTACCAAATTTGGACAGAAGCTTGTTTATGATCAAAAGCTAGTATCTAGAAGGAAATTTTGTAAAAAAATAAATCCATTTTTTCAGTATTTTACTTTTAAATGGACTTAGATTTTCTGCCAGGAAACAACACATTCTCTCTGTGGTTAAAGTTTTTAAACATTTATTAGATTCATAAACTATCCTGGATTTTTACCAAACTTGGACAGAAGCTTCTTACAATCAAAAGATAGTATCAAGAGGAATATTTTTATTGATTTACTTCCTCATTTTTGTTGAGCCTGCGATTAACAGAAAAAGTAGGCGAGACACTGGGTTCCACGGAACCCTTACGAATTTTTATTAATATTGTATTAATATTGTGTCATAGATCAAACTTATTCGTTCAGCTTATGTTTACTTTTTTTTGTTTATACATGTATGCCTTTTTGATCGAGTTAAGCCATTTCAATTGGTATTTTATAGTGTGTCTTTTTATGTTGTAATGTTACACTACTGTTTCAAGTTAGGGTGAAGGTTGGCGCCTGTTAAAACCCGCTGCATTTGTATGCACCTGTCCTAAGTCAGGAGCCTGTTGTTCAGTGGTTGTCGTTTGTTGGTGTGGTTCATAAGTGTTTCTTGTTTCTCGTTTTTTATATAAGTCAAACTTGAGTAAACCAGACCCTGAATAAACCGGTTTCCTGTCCAATCCGGCCGAAAATTGAAGTCCCATTTTTTCCCTTCAAAGTCTTTGTAAATATACCCCTTGTAAACCGAAACCTGTGTATTCTGAATTCCGGTCTTATTATGCAGTCCCAATACTCTTAATTACATCAAAGAGGGACGAAAGATACCAGAGGGACAGTCAAACTCATAGATCGAAAGCAAACTGACAACGCCATGGCCAAAATAAAAAGACAAACAGACAAATAATAGTACAGATGACACAACATAGAAAACCAAAGACTAAGCAACACGAACCCCACCAAAAACTGGGGGTGATCTCAGGTGCCCCGGAAGGGTAAGCAGATCCTGCTCCACATGTGGCATCCGTCGTGTTGCTTATGTTATTACAAAACTGGTAAATAGTCTAATTCGGTAAGTCACATTTGTGAAAAGGGAGGGTATTATAGTTCATCATTACCTGTCAAAACCGGTTTGTTAATTTATATAAAATGATAAAATTATTTATCGATATGCAATCAAGATATAATTGATTATACAAGACTGTTTTTCAGGATAATTAATTAGCAAGGTGTTAAACCTTGAACTTACAGTAGTGAGCTTTATTATTGAAGTATTCAAAAAATTTAATTAAAAAAAACGCTGAATATACTCGGATAGAACTTACATTGTAACTTTTATAAATTTTTCAAAAGGCGGAGTAGGAAATTAACATCTTGTTCTCGAAAAACTGGGTTTCCTGTTGTGAACCCTGAAACCAGTGACCCTGATATTGAAGAACCAGGATGACAACAATCCATTGGTATCGTACATTGTACCACAATGCTTCGATCGTGATGAAATTTCGTTTGATAAAATTCTAGCTTTTTCGTAGGCTATATCAACATCGAAAATGAACGATAGAAGTAAAACGAAACTCTTGTTTAAAAATTCAAACAACGCGAGGATTCTGATGCAAAAGAAAACAATGAACTCAAACTGAAAGTGAAACTGAACAGTCGTAGACTGATGCTACCCAGGTCAACTTTACATACGAGGATATGTAAAAAGGGTTAAAATATTATTTGAATTCTAAAGCGATTGAATACAAAGAATCAAAACAACGATCGTACGTAGTTAAATGAAGAAAAAGGCAGTGAACACTTGTAATGTTCATGTCACAATATTTTCACACAAATCATGACATAATTTCAAATAAATTTTATTTTCTTCTTAATATCAAGTAATTTTATTAAAATTGGAGTTATCTTCCTTTGTCCATGATTATAGTTGAATCAACTACAATCAATGCTTTATACAATGCAATGTTTTATTTTGACTTCCACCGATAAAACACAGATCAAGTTGAATTTGGGTAGTGTCACTTAAATCATTATTGAGTTATGCCCCTTTATAAATCAAAAGATTGCAAAATTTTTAGTTCCATTCTGTAACTTAAGTTTGCCCCAACCAAACATTATGAAATCTATACACAATATTCATTACCACAAAACTAAGATCAAGTACAAATTTTTTGTTTCCGTTTTCTAACTTAAGTTTGCCTCAACCAAATGTTATGAAACTTATACACAATGCTTATTACTACATAATACAGATTAAGTACGAAATTTGATGGCAACACTTTTACCATTCTTGAGTTATGTCCCTTTATAAACATAAAAATTGCTGAATTTTATGTTCCATTCTCTAACTTTAGTTTGTCTCAACCAAATGTTATTAAACTTATACACAACCGTTCCAGAGTTATGCGTGTTTACAAATAGAAAAATTGCTGAACTTTTAGTTTCTGTTCTCTACTTTAGTTAGCCTCAAACAAAGGTTATGAGACACACACAATGCTTATTACCAGAAAACTCAGATCAAGTTCAAATTTGGGTGGCGTCACTTTTACCGTTCTTCAGTTATGTCCCTTTATAACTATATGATATGCAAGTGGGGGCATCATCTGTGTCCACATGTGGACACTATCCACATTTATTTTTTTTATATCAAGCTAAAACTATTTACACATGATAAATTTACTGACTATAGGTGTAAGTTAAGGCAGCTGCTTCTCACAACTCTACAGAGTCGCTCATCAAAATGCTCATTGGAAGGCTCAGTGTTCCAGGTTTTAATAGTAGATGAAAAATGATTGATGGTGTATTTGTTGTTCTTCAGGATGGAATTTGGTATGAGTGAGCATGCATGTTTTGGGACTGTCTGAGCGGTTGTATTAATCTGTCTGTTTTTGTGTTGGCAATCAAATGATATGAAATTTTATAGAACATGACAAGACGTGTATCTGTTCATCTTGTTTGATATATGAATTGTCTGCATATGTCATGTATGTATCATGACATATTTTTTCACAGTTATGCTTAACCACATATGCCCCATGCACATTCTTAAACCACAAAACAACCATTTTATTAATAGTCTGCATTTCCTTCAAAATGATTGATTGATTGTTTGTGTTTAACACCACTTTTAGCACTCTCGGCTATCTCATTGCGGTAAGTTTTTTTTGGTGGAATAAAATGGAGTACATGATGAGACCACATACACCTTCTATAGAACCACTATTCTCATCTGAACCTTTAAAAGTTGACCTGAAATATCTGTTAATTAGATATAAGGTCATTGATGATAATATTTTGATTTTGTGATAGTCATGTTTGTCATGCTATAAACTCCTCTGGTAATCAGGGTGCATAGTCAGGAATTCATTCAAATATGAAAAAGTCAGGAATTCATTCAAATATGAAAATAGATATATTATTAATTACTATTACAAAATATTTCCTTAAAGTAATATAATATCAAAATAAAAAGATAATAATAATAATAATTCTTTATTTAAAGAGGGTTACACAGTTAGCTATAAAACTAATCTTCCCTGAGGCAGATGTGATATGATTGCCAATGAGACAACTCTCCACAAGAGACCAAATGACACAGAAATTTACAACTTCGGTTACCGTACGGCGTTCAACAATGAGTAAAAACCATACCGCATAGTCAGCTATAAAAGGCCCAGAAATGACAAATGTAAAACTATTTCAAACCTAGAAAACTAACAGCCTATCATCTATGTACAAAATAATGAAAGAAAACAAATATGATATACAGCAACAAATGACAACCACTGAATTACATTATGTTTATTTATGTTGTATACCAAATGTCTAGAAAATCTTTTATAATTATTATTCAATTCTAGGAAAAGAGTTAGAAATGACATTGAAAAGTTATTCCCTAATCTGCAACCAGAAGACTTGCTTCAGATTATTCCAGCCAAAGATGAGATGACAGTGGCCAAAATCTACACCCACTCTGGGGATAGCTTGGTGATCTATTGTGTTCAGAAGAATCCTGTGTTTATAGAAGTATTTAAAGAATTGATACCTACTGTTTATTCCATGTGGAAGTTCCCAGAGTTGTTACCAGTGTTCAGGACCTATCCTCCTGTATTCTCTAAATTAAAGGGTGGGGCAGGTAATGAAAAAACATGTACCTAAAAGTAAGTGTAAATTGTTTAATCTAAATTGAAATAGTAATTTGACTTGCCTGCAATAAATATTGCATCATGGTAAGACATAGTTAATACATACATAGATGTAAGCTTGGTATGCTTTTTACTAGGCCTCATTAATTTTTTTTTTTCATTTGGAAAAGTTTAAAGACTAGCCTTTTTTTTTTATAGAATCCCCTATTTTCTGTCCCAATACAGATGAATATGGGTAGCGGATCCATAGTCTGGTCTGAGATTGGTGTATCTGTACACATATGTATGGTCTTTTATTACTATCGTAAAATTATATGCTTTTTTTTCTGTAAGTTATTTCTTTGTTCAGACACAATTTTTCCTGAGGTTTTTAGCTGAGAAAACAATTTCCAATCGATCTTAGCATGATTTTGTGTTGTCGAAATTGTTCATTCTCGTATACAAGAGATTTGAGAAAATTTAATTTCTTTTCATTGTCTTTTATTACATCCTTTTTCTGCAAATGAAAATATAAAAGATTAATGACGCCAATTGAGTAGTATTGATCACTTTATGCACAATCAAGCTCATTAATGTATGATTATCATTTTTCCTATTGTATAACAATGTATCGCTAATTGTTTATTATGGCGATGAACGTGTATCTTAGGTAAACACTTGTGGGAAAAGGATGTCATAAATCAATACAGTGGTCAATGACCAAACATTTAATTACAGGTGTAATAATTGTCAGATTAACTCATCAATCTATTTAAATCCCCGAGATCATGTTGTGACATATGTGTATTTGTTCCAGATAAAAATGTAATTAAAATACTTTTGTTAACCTTGGGACCTTAAATTTGGTTCTAGTCGACAGAGAGTTTGACTCATCCAATTTCGACTCATAAGGAGTTCAAGACAATGAGAGTTAACTGAACCGATATTTAACAAAATAAAAAAATCATCACTTTGTATATCTTCTTTCCTTTTTTTCTATTTGAATTTATAACTTGAATTTATTCCTGGACTATAAATTAAGTTACATCTACAAAAAAATTTGCATACACCTGAAAGATGTGCGCAACAAACTGATTAATATGTAAATATAATTTATATTCAAAAATTTAAATCATCATACTTCAACTTAATTTTAGTGTGAACATATTTTATTAAGTTAAATATTATACACAGTTTGAAATGAATATATTAATACTAATGAATAATTAATCGGAACCTAAACACAAGCTGTTTACTTATATTATCTATTTCCTAAAACAAATAAGAACATTTTGTAACTTTTGAAGGATGAAAAAAATATTTCCATTGTACTTAAGATGTATGAATATTCATATGTATCTGAAATAACAAAGTAAAACAATCAGAATTTTGAGTTTACTTTTTTTTGCATTTTAGACCTGATGTTGCCAGGAGTTGTTGTTGAAGGGGAAGTTACTCCATATACATTTAGAAATATTAAAAAAGGAGACCTATGCAGCGTATGTCTCATTGGAAATAAGTAAGTGTAAATGCTTGCTTCAGTATTTTATTTGGTCATTTAATCTGATTACTATTACATAGGGAAACAGTACATAATTTTAACATAGAAAGGCATTCATATTATTAGTAAAAGCCCTAAAATAAGTACAGGAATGCAAACGATTACAAAATGCTGAATTTTGCTGAAAATACATAAAACAATCATGATATGTAAGAAACAATCACAGTAGTAATAATGGATTTTGTGCTTAGATTCATATTGAACAAATATCTTGCCATACACATGATTTTGTTGCCTTATCATAACAAAAGAATAGAAAATGTTTCTTATTTGCAGATATTTCTCTGTGTCCACACTTTTTCAACCTATTACCCGTAGGAATCACTGAATATTTTTTATATAAAATGTTTTTACCTTGTTATCTTAAAATCTAATTCTAGGTGAATTTCAAAATACATTTTGTTTCAGGCTTTTTTTTAGTAAATAACAGGTATTGTATTTTAAGGTTTTTCCTTTCATTTATCAGAAGGTTTTCATAAAATAAGTGGATTGTCTCTATTTAAGAATGTTTTGTATAGGGTTAAGAATGAGAGCATGAATTTGGTTGAAATTATTTCTTATATATTGATTATGTTCAGACATTTATACAACTGAAAGTTCCTGACCGTCAATTAAAAGTAATTTATTGCCATCTGGTGACCAATTATATATTTGATTTCTCTGATTCTATAAACGACAATGGAAATGCTTCTTCCATTATATATCAGAGTGCCTTGAAGCAGACAATATCAACTATATGTCCATTGTCAACAAAATGTCACTTTCAATGAACAAATATGTGAAATTAAAAAGGACCAAAAACTATTTTTGTATTTTATGACATCCTTGTCAGTTGGTGGATAGTTGGCAATCATACCACTTTTCAAATTTTGATGTATTAACCATGGCTCAAGTATATATCCCATCAGTAAATTAGAACCCATTGAATATAAAAATAATGAGACATGGTATGATTACTAATGAGACATATATTCTCCAGAGACCAAATGGCAAGGTTGTAAGCCATTATTGGTCATGATGTAGCCTTCAACAACATGAACAAGGAGCAAAACCAATATTGTGTAGTACTTTATAAAATGTCCTGACAAGACAAACTGTAAAACATTTCAAATGAGAAACCCAACAGCTTTAATATATGCTAAAACAATAAACGAAAAACTACCTTAATATGACAGACAGCAACCAAAAACAACCACTAGGGCTTCTTGTGTCAAAACAGCATATTGAGAAACAAGTTTTATGTACTTGGATGTATGATATAATAACCAAATCTATCAGCTTGTCAAAAATTAGATCTTTGGAGGACCTCTTTAATTACTTTGACTTGATCTTTATATAAAGTATTTATAGTAATCCAGTTATGCATTATATTTTTTAGAGCACCAATTGCTGTTGGGAGGGCTGCTTTGTCAGGCAGTGACATGTTTGAATCAGCCATGCGTGGTAAAGGTGTTCAGATAGTACATTTATTTGGAGATGACCTTTGGTATAGTTATTTTCATTGTTTATATTGATATATGATTCATATTCTTTAACAATAATTTCACAAAGTTAATAAGATAGATATTCTAATCCAAAAAGTGATTTGAAATGCCCAATCAATCTACAAACTATCTACTCTTAATGATCTAAACAAAAAACTACCTGTGGTAATTTAGTGAAAATTGTATTCTCTTTACCCTCCAAAAGGAAAATTAAAATAAATTTCAAACAATATTTTTGCAGTGACTCCTTTGATTTTGATAAAGGAATAATAATAAATTAATTAAAAATGTTCTCACCAGCCCTAATTCTGGTCTTCTAAAAAGACAAAGAGCTAAATGTTTAGTATAAATATTATTAGTAAAGAATGTTTATGTGATTTTTTCTGACACAAGAGTTCTTTTAAGGCAGAGTCCTGATTTATGCTGGTTCAGTTTTAGACAAGATTTCATTGTAGATTTAGGTATGTTCTTACTCTTTTGACATTTTTACATGGACAGACTTGCTTTTACACTATTCACTGTCTTGATCTTATGATAATCTGTAGGTCATTTGGAGATAAATCTCAGATACCAGTCATACCTGATGGCATGTTATTGATGAATGAAGATGACGATTCAGACAAGTATGAACAGTCAAGTAGTATAAAGATGGATCAGCAAAATGGTGATTCAAAAGTGACAGGTGATTTAGGAATTAACAGTCAGTTAAATAAACAACAATCATGTAACTCTGGTGATGTAGGATATATATCGTCAGGTCAATATGTAAGTGAATCGACAGGAAACCAGAATGACAGTGGTGTGCTTGATCAAGCCATGAATAAATGTAATGGAAGTTTACACGAATTAGATCTGAAAAATGGTTCAAACAACACTGAAGAAACTCAAGAAGAAGTGATGGACTTATTAGGTAAAATCTAATAAACAAGGACAAAAATATACAACTTAAATATTTTAAAGTATATGTGTTTTGAAAATTATTAGTAAATTCACCTGCAGGAAGGAGTTAATTTGAATTTTTTGAATTGCTGATAAAAATATATGAATAATGTACAATTAGTTACTAGTATACAAGATAGATTTAAAGGATAATGTTTTTATTAAGTTTATCCATCAGCCACTGAAAGTAGACACTGAGAACATGACCATAGTGCTTTTGTTTTTGCTCATTTTATATGCAAAAGCCAAGGTTATGACGACTGCAAAAATCTAATCGAAGACACAACTATACCCAAAAAGATATATCACTGCATGATGTATTATTAAATGATGTTAATGTCGATGAAAGATCTTTTTGAGCAGTTTATATAAGGGTGTGACTCATATTAAATTTAGCCAAAATGTATACGTTTGTAAGCATTGAAGAATATTACTATTTTTATACGACAGCAAAAAAATTTTGCGGTCGTATATTGGTATGACGTTGGCGTCGTCGTCGTCCGAAGAAACATTGGTTTTCGCACTCTAACTTTAGTTTAAGTGAATGGATCTCTATGAAATTTTACCATAACGTTCAATATCACAAAAGGAAGATTGGGATTGATTTTGGAGGTTATGGTACCAACAGTTAAGGAATAAGGGGCCAAAAAGGGGCCAAAAATAAGCATTTTTGTAACTTCCAGACATAACTTGTGTGTTAGTGTATGGATCTCTCTGACATTGTACCGCAAGGTTCCATATCACAAAGGGAATGCTGGGATTGATTTTGGGGGTAATTTTAGGAATTAGGGGCCAAAAAAGGGGCAAAAAAACAAGCATTTTTCTAGTTTCATGATAATAACTTGTGTGTAAGTGTATGGATCTTTCTGAAATTGTACTACAAGGTTCCTTATCTCAAAGGTAAAGCTGGAATAGAGTTTGGGGGTAATTGTCCAAAACGTTTAGCAATAAGGGGCCAAAAAGGGACCAAAAATAAACATTCTTCTAGTTTCCAGACAATAACTTGTGTTCAAGTGTATGGACCTCTCTGAAATTGTACTGCAAGGTACCATTCCACAAAGGGAAGGGTGGGATTGATTTTGGGGGTAATTGCCTCAAAATTTTAGGAATTAGGGGCAAAAAAGGGGCAAAAAACAAGCATTTTTCTAGTTTCAGGACAATAACTTGTGTGTAAGTGTATGGATCTTTATGAAATTGTACTAAAAGATTCCATATCACAAAGGGAAAGCTGGGTTTGAGTTTGGGGGTAATTGCCCTAAATGTTTAGGAATTTGGGGCCAAAAAGGGGCAAAAACAAGCATTTTTCTAGTTTCCAGACAATAACTTGTGTTCAAGTGTATGGATCCCTCTGAAATTGTACTGCAAGGTACCATACCACAAAGGGAAGGGTGGGATTGAGTTTGGGGGTGATGAATCATAAGGGGGTTCAAAAAATTTGGGGGAGGGATTTTTTTTTCCTTTAAAATTTTCCATTTTAAATTGGTTATTTCTGATTTATATATAAAAGCAAATAATAATGATATGGTTTGAATAGGTAAATTAAAATTTTTTAAGTTCTTAGACCACATTCATTCTGTGTCAGAAACCTATGCTGTGTCAAATATTTAATCGCAATCCAAATTCAGTGCTGTTTCAAGCTTTAATGTTGTGTCCATACTTGCCCCAACTGTTCAGGGTTAGACCTCTGCAGTCGTATCAAGCTGTGCACAGCGGAGCATTTTATTACCATTTCAGTGACAATATAATGGCTGTTATCATGCCTCATCATATACTTATTTGTTTAAATTCACACGCCTTTGATACTTTATATGTACCTATCTTTTGTAGATAATATGGATGAGTTATTAGATGTTTGTTTTAAGTGTGCAATAAAGTCATCAGTAAAGAAGTCAGATTTACCATTACTCACAAGTGCTTTCTTTAAAAACCATATGGTTAAATTTTGGTAAGCTAATTTTAGTTTGCAGAAAACAATGTTTACATAACCGATAACATCTATGTGCATGTCTATAGCCAGTTCCCAGATACTAATTAGCATACAACATTATAATTTTGTATGTAGGTACACCTTGCAGAGACTGATCATGACATAAAATTGAGATCATATGACCCATATTGCATGCCCCCCTGTCTTGAAATTTGAAACAAAAATCAGATATAAGGAAAAAAAGAGCCTTATCATACAATTTGGTGTAATTTGTATGCCCACCTAGGAAAGTAGTGGGACATATTGTGTTCAGGTATGTGCCTTTGTCCATCCTGTATCAGGTTAAACTTTTGGTTTACCATGAAGTCATTGCTTGTCAGCTTGAAATTTAGTAGATATGTTCATTATAATTTTAGTTTAGACTCCCCATCTACCTTAAATGTTTTTTTGGTTAGAAGAGAGAACAATGAAACATGCATTAATTTAAGAATTTCTTTAAAATAAGTTTTTACTGTGTTTCAGTCCACCAGGAAAATTGTTAGATGTCAAGAAGTCAAGTTATAAAAAGGTAATCATTTGGTGTAATTAAAGAACAAAATTGAGGTTTGTGCTTTTTTTTATGACAATAAGGATTGTGTTATTATTTGTAGAATTTAAGATAAGAAATAAATTATTGTATGTGGTATATTTGTTTACTAAATCATCAAGAATTGTGTGCTAGGGTGTATAAAAATTGTCTCCCCTTGGTTTATGTATGATTTATTAATAGTTTGTTAAGTGGGAATAAAGCTGTTTTATATATATTTGTACAGTTTTATAGCAGTCAGTTTCATTGCAAACTAAACTTAGGCAAGTATCTGGCAAACTCTATCACATGCTGTTAGAGCAAATGCACTTTGCCATTTCTGTCCATGATTACATCAAGTTTTAGATAAATACCACAATGTTGATATGCCATTACATGTTTTATATCTGAATGTCAAAGTTTCTTTTAAGTAATTACATGCGAAGAGATCATGTGGATTTAAGTTTTCAAAGATAGATTGTTGTTTTCTTGAAGTCCAGTGGCAAATATTTCTTATATTATCAGGACAATAAATTTTCATAAAATTAAGGGGAAACATTGCAGAAATTACATTGTTGTGATGAAAAAAGATTATAATATTCTCCTTATTACTGAAAGGCAAACTTCCAAATTTACTTATCTTTGAAAGATTTTTGTCCATATAGAAATAAATGTAACTATGCAAAAACTTATAACAAATTGAAGTTGGACATGGATAAAGAGAATTTTTCTTTCCAGCTATCAAAGTTTTTACAAAAGATGCAGAAGGATGGTTATATAAAAGTCAAAGAGTTATCAAAGGGTGCTGACAGTATAGTGGAAGTAGATAAATCTCAGTAAGTTATCAAAGGGTGTTGACAGTATAGTGGAAGTAGATAAATCTCAGTAAGTTATCAAAGGGTACTGACAGTATAGTGGAAGTAGATAAATCTCAGTAAGTTATCAAAGGGTGCTGACAGTATAGTGGAAGTAGATAAATCTCAGTAAGTTGTCAAAGGGTGCTGACAGTATAGTGGAAGTATATAAATCTCAGTAAGTTATCAAAGGGTGCTGACAGTATAGTGGAAGTAGATAAATCTCAGTAAGTTATCAAAGGGTGATACAGTATTGTCCGGGTACACAGTTATCGTCCTTTGATTTTCGTTGTCCACGAATATAGTCCCTAGTGTGGACAGTGTGTTACTTGTTGATTTTTTTTATACCCCTTCCAAATTTATTTCTCCATGTTTTATGACTCAAATAGTAAGTAGGGGGTTGAAATGACACTGTAAAAAAATTTGGGTCATGAATTTTAAAGTAAAGTAGTGATTTGGTCCAGCTGAAAAATGTTAAAAATTAGCACTTCGGAAGCTGTCAAAAGATTTGAAGACCCCCTTAACATGAAATTGTCCATATTTTGAGTTAGAGCCGATGAAGTTTTCTATAATTTTGATATAATTTGTCCCAAAAGTAGTACAACACACTGTAAAAATATTATTGAGAAAGCGCAGGTGGAATTTTTTTAATTTTCATTTATTGTCTAAAAGAAATGCACTACGAAATAACTGTGTACTCGGACCTAAGAGGTGAAATCAGGAAATATAGAATCTGTACTTTGGCAACTTCCCTGAATGATTTGATGGTGTCAATTTATCAAATAGCATAAAACTAAAGGATTTAAACTTTTATTTGATAGAATTTCTGCAAAAATGACCAATTTTGGCATTTTATGGTCAAAATAAGCATTTCATAGCTTTTTCAATTTTGATGCATAAGTGGCATTCTGACTTTCTATCTGACAGGTTTTTATGTGTCAATATTTGTGTTTCTATGCTTCAATCCAGTTGTATTACTCATTTGTGAACTCTGAATCTACAGAAAAGAAGATTATCTCAGACAATATGTGCAAAATGTGTTGTATATATGATCCTCGTCTAACGCCCTGTTTGGATCAAGTTAAATGTGAGGAGCTTGGAACATAAAAGTTGAAGTCCATTATAAAGACCTCACTAAATTTGTATAAAAAGCACTTAACAATGTCTTTTGTACCTGTTTTATGTCACATAATATCTTTCTTTTCTTCTGTAGGATAGCAAGTGGTTCAAATATAAGCCTGTTGAGACTAAAATTGCATGCATGTTTTTCACTAAAAAGTGAAAAATCTTTGTATCAGACCATACTGTCTACAAAAAAAGTTGAATGCAAGAGTCTTTTTGTGCTCAGATTTATTGTATCATGTCACCTGAGTATAGAAATGATAGAAAAGACACAAAATTTTATTTCCTATAGCTTCAATATGCATTTTTAAATGTAAATATGTGATACGGCCTAAATTGATCCTAAATTATTTTCCGTCTTACTTGGCCTAAGACCCTTTTAAACTAATGTGATATGTTATTTGTAACTTTTCTTTCCATTTAAAGTACATTAAATACATATGTAAGGATTATTTATAACCAAAAAGCTTTACAAATTTAAAATTGCTGGAAAATATTACATCTTTATGTAAGGCCCCCTTTCATTGGAAAACCTCCATTTTTAGCCACAGGCTCATATAAATTTGACTTTTTAATAATTATGATAAGTCTGATAAATGAAATGAGTACTCTATTGCTTTTAATACATAATATATTATATATTAAGGCATTTCAAAAGTATTTTTTTGCAATATTTTAATTTTTTAAGCCCCAAATGTTGATAGTTGAAAATTTTCAATTTAAACGTCTAAATTTAACACGCAAAGTTGAATATAGAATTAGTCATATTGTCTATAATATATATCCTATTGCCATGAAACTTTGTAAGCAGTCTTATAATTTAATAAGCTTTGGTCATACCAAGTTTCATTAAGATTGGTCAACTTTTTCTACCCTATTAGGTCCGGGTACACAGTTATCGTCCTTTGATTTTCGTTGTCCACGAATATAGTCCCTAGTGTGGACAGTGTGTTACTTGTTGATTTTTTTTATACCCCTTCCAAATTTATTTCTCCATGTTTTATGACTCAAATAGTAAGTAGGGGGTTGAAATGACACTGTAAAAAAATTTGGGTCATGAATTTTAAAGTAAAGTAGTGATTTGGTCCAGCTGAAAAATGTTAAAAATTAGCACTTCGGAAGCTGTCAAAAGATTTGAAGACTCCCTTAACATGAAATTGTCCATATTTTGAGTTAGAGCCGATGAAGTTTTCTATAATTTTGATATAATTTGTCCCAAAAGTAGTACAACACACTGTAAAAATATTATTGAGAAAGCGCAGGTGGAATTTTTTTAATTTTCATTTATTGTCTAAAAGAAATGCACTACGAAATAACTGTGTACTCGGACCGTATAGTGGAAGTAGATAAATCTCAGTAAGTTATCAAAGGGTACTGACAGTATAGTGGAAGCAGATAAATCTCAGTAAGTTATCAAAGGGTGCTGACAGTATAGTGGAAGTAGATAAATCTCAGTAAGTTGTCAAAGGGTGCTGACAGTATAGTGGAAGTAGATAAATCTCAGTAAGTTATCAAAGGGTGATACAGTATAGTGGAAGTAGATAAATCTCAGTAAGTTATCAAACAGTGCTGACAGTATAGTGGAAGTAGATAAATCTCAGTAAGTTATCAAAGGGTGCTGACAGTATAGTGGAAGTAGATAAATCTCAGTAAGTTATCAAAGGGTGCTGACAGTATAGTTGAAGTAGATAAATCTCAGTAAGTTATCAAAGGTTGTTGACATTATAGTGGAAGTATATAAATCTCAGTAATTTATCAAAGGGTGTTGACAGTATAGTGGAAGTAGATAAATCTCAGTAAGTTATCAAAGGGTGATACAGTATAGCGGAAGTAGATAAATCTCAGTAAGTTATCAAAGGGTGTTGACAGTATAGTGGAAGTAGATAAATCTCAGTAAGTTATCAAAGGGTGCTGACAGTATAGTGGAAGTAGATAAATCTCAGTAAGTTATCAAAGGGTGTTGACAGTATAGTGGAAGTAGATAAATCTCAGTAAGTTATCAGAGGGTGTTGACAGTATAGTGGAAGTAGATAAATCTCAGTAAGTTATCAAAGGGTGATACAGTATAGTGGAAGTAGATAAATCTCAGTAAGTTATCAAAGGGTGCTGACAGTATAGTGGAAGTAGATAAATCTCAGTAAGTTATCAAAGGGTGTTGACAGTATAGTGGAAGTAGATTAATCTCAGTAAGTTATCAAAGGGTGCTGACAGTATAGTGGAAGTAGATTAATCTCAGTAAGTTATCAAAGGGTGCTGACAGTATAGTGGAAGTTGATAAATCTCAGTAAGTTATCAAAGGGTGATACAGTATAGTGGAAGTAGATAAATCTCAGTAAGTTATCAAAGGGTGTTGACAGTATAGTGGAAGTAGATAAATCTCAGTAAGTTATCAAAGGGTGTTGACAGTATAGTGGAAGTAGATAAATCTCAGTAAGTTATCAAAGGGTGTTGACAGTATAGTGGAAGTAGATAAATCTCAGTAAGTTATCAAAGGGTGTTGACAGTATAGTGGAAGTAGATAAATCTCAGTAAGTTATCAAAGGGTGATACAGTATAGTGGAAGTAGATAAATCTCAGTAAGTTATCAAAGGGTGCTGACAGTATAGTGGAAGTAGATAAATCTCAGTAAGTTATCAAAGGGTGTTGACAGTATAGTGGAAGTAGATAAGTCTCAGTAATTTATCAAAGGGTGCTGACAGTATAGTAGGAGTAGATAAATCTCAGTAAGTTATCAAAGGGTGTTGACAGTATAGTGGAAGTAGATAAATCTCAGTAAGTTATCAAAGGGTGCTGACAGTATAGTGGAAGTAGATAAATCTCAGTAAGTTATCAAAGGGTGTTGACAGTATAGTGGAAGTATATAAATCTCAGTAAGTTATCAAAGGGTGATACAGTATAGCGGAAGTAGATAAATCTCAGTAAGTTATCAAAGGGTGCTGACAGTATAGTAGAAGTAGATAAATCTCAGTAAGTTATCAAAGGGTGTTGACAGTATAGTGGAAGTAGATAAGTCTCAGTAATTTATCAAAGGGTGCTGACAGTATAGTAGGAGTAGATAAATCTCAGTAAGTTATCAAAGGGTGATACAGTATAGTGGAAGTAGATAAATCTCAGTAAGTTATCAAAGGGTGATACAGTATAGTGGAAGTAGATATATCTCAGTAATTTATCCAAGGGTGCTGACAGTATAGTAGGAGTAGATAAATCTCAGTAAGTTATCAAAGGGTGATACAGTATAGTGGGAGTAGATAAATCTCAGTAAGTTATCAAAGGGTGATACAGTATAGCGGAAGTAGATAAATCTCAGTAAGTTATCAAAGGGTGATACAGTATAGTGGAAGTAGATAAATCTCAGTAAGTTATCAAAGGGTGCTGACAGTATAGTAGAAGTAGATAAATCTCAGTAAGTTATCAAAGGGTGCTGACAGTATAGTGGAAGTAGATAAATCTTATCAAAGGGTGATACAGTATAATGGAAGTAGATAAATCTCAGTAAGTTATCAAAGGGTGATACAGTATAGTGGAAGTAGATAAATCTCAGTAAGTTATCAAACAGTGCTGACAGTATAGTGGAAGTAGATAAATCTCAGTAAGTTATCAAAGGGTGTTGACAGTATAGTGGAAGTAGATAAATCTCAGTAAGTTATCAAAGGGTGATACAGTATAGTGGAAGTAGATAAATCTCAGTAAGTTATCAAACAGTGCTGACAGTATAGTGGAAGTAGATAAATCTCAGTAAGTTATCAAAGGGTGTTGACAGTATAGTGGAAGTAGATAAATCTCAGTAAGTTATCAAAGGGTGCTGACAGTATAGTGGAAGTAGATTAATCTCAGTAAGTTATCAAAGGGTGCTGACAGTATAGTGGAAGTTGATAAATCTCAGTAAGTTATCAAAGGGTACTGACAGTATAGTGGAAGCAGATAAATCTCAGTAAGTTATCAAAGGGTGATACAGTATAGTGGAAGTAGATAAATCTCAGTAAGTTATCAAAGGGTACTGACAGTATAGTGGAAGCAGATAAATCTCAGTAAGTTATCAAAGGGTGATACAGTATAGTGGAAGTAGATAAATCTCAGTAAGTTATCAAAGGGTGCTGACAGTATAGTGGAAGTAGATAAATCTCAGTAAGTTATCAAAGGGTGTTGACAGTATAGTGGAAGTATATAAATCTCAGTAAGTTATCAAAGGGTGATACAGTATAGCGGAAGTAGATAAATCTCAGTAAGTTATCAAAGGGTGCTGACAGTATAGTAGAAGTAGATAAATCTCGGTAAGTTATCAAAGGGTGTTGACAGTATAGTGGAAGTAGATAAGTCTCAGTAATTTATCAAAGGGTGCTGACAGTATAGTAGGAGTAGATAAATCTCAGTAAGTTATCAAAGGGTGATACAGTATAGTGGAAGTAGATAAATCTCAGTAAGTTATCAAAGGGTGATACAGTATAGTGGAAGTAGATATATCTCAGTAATTTATCCAAGGGTGCTGACAGTATAGTAGGAGTAGATAAATCTCAGTAAGTTATCAAAGGGTGATACAGTATAGTGGGAGTAGATAAATCTCAGTAAGTTATCAAAGGGTGATACAGTATAGCGGAAGTAGATAAATCTCAGTAAGTTATCAAAGGGTGATACAGTATAGTGGAAGTAGATAAATCTCAGTAAGTTATCAAAGGGTGCTGACAGTATAGTAGAAGTAGATAAATCTCAGTAAGTTATCAAAGGGTGCTGACAGTATAGTGGAAGTAGATAAATCTTATCAAAGGGTGATACAGTATAATGGAAGTAGATAAATCTCAGTAAGTTATCAAAGGGTGATACAGTATAGTGGAAGTAGATAAATCTCAGTAAGTTATCAAAGGGTGCTGACAGTATAGTGGAAGTAGATAAATCTCAGTAAGTTATCAAAGGGTGTTGACAGTATAGTGGAAGTAGATAAATCTCAGTAAGTTATCAAAGGGTGCTGACAGTATAGTGGAAGTAGATTAATCTCAGTAAGTTATCAAAGGGTGCTGACGATATAGTGGAAGTTGATAAATCTCAGTAAGTTATCAAAGGATGATACAGTATAGTGGAAGTAGATAAATCTCAGTAAGTTATCAAAGGGTGCTGACAGTATAGTGGAAGTAGATTAATCTCAGTAAGTTATCAAAGGGTGCTGACAGTATAGTGGAAGTTGATAAATCTCAGTAAGTTATCAAAGGGTGTTGACAGTATAGTGGAAGTAGATAAATCTCAGTAAGTTATCAAAGGGTGCTGACAGTATAGTGGAAGTAGATAAATCTCAGTAAGTTATCAAAGGGTGTTGACAGTATAGTGGAAGTTTATAAATCTCAGTAAGTTATCAAAGGGTGATACAGTATAGCGGAAGTAGATAAATCTCAGTAAGTTATCAAAGGGTGCTGACAGTATAGTAGAAGTAGATAAATCTCAGTAAGTTATCAAAGAGTGTTGACAGTATAGTGGAAGTAGATAAGTCTCAGTAATTTATCAAAGGGTGCTGACAGTATAGTAGGAGTAGATAAATCTCAGTAAGTTATCAAAGGGTGATACAGTATAGTGGAAGTAGATAAATCTCAGTAAGTTATCAAAGGGTGATACAGTATAGTGGAAGTAGATATATCTCAGTACTTTATCCAAGGGTGCTGACAGTATAGTAGGAGTAGATAAATCTCAGTAAGTTATCAAAGGGTGATACAGTATAGTGGGAGTAGATAAATCTCAGTAAGTTATCAAAGGGTGATACAGTATAGCGGAAGTAGATAAATCTCAGTAAGTTATCAAAGGGTGATACAGTATAGTGGAAGTAGATAAATCTCAGTAAGTTATCAAAGGGTGCTGACAGTATAGTAGAAGTAGATAAATCTCAGTAAGTTATCAAAGGGTGCTGACAGTATAGTGGAAGTAGATAAATCTTATCAAAGGGTGATACAGTATAATGGAAGTAGATAAATCTCAGTAAGTTATCAAAGGGTGCTGACAGTATAGTGGAAGTAGATAAATCTCAGTTAGTTATCAAAGGGTGTTGACAGTATAGTGGAAGTAGATAAATATCTGTAAGTTATCAAAGGGTGCTGACAGTATAGTGGAAGTAGATAAATCTCAGTAAGTTATCAAAGGGTGCTGACAGTATAGTGGAAGTAGATAAATCTCAGTAAGTTATCAAAGGGTGCTGACAGTATATTGGAAGTAGATAAATCTCAGTAATTTATCAAAGGGTGTTGACAGTATAGTGGAAGTAGATAAATCTCAGTAAGTTATCAAAGGGTATTGACAGTATAGTGGAAGTAGATAAATCTCAGTAAGTTATCAAAGGGTGCTGACAATATAGTGGAAGTAGATAAATCTCAGTAAGTTATCAAAGGGTGCTGACAGTATAGTGGAAGTAGATAAATCTCAGTAAGTTATCAAAGGGTGTTGACAGTATAGTGGAAGTAGATAAATCTCAGTAAGTTATCAAAGGGTGTTCACAGTATAGTGGAAGTAGATAAATCTCAGTAAGTTATCAAAGGGTGCTGACAGTATAGTGGAAGTAGATAAATCTCAGTAATTTATCAAAGGGTGCTGACAGATAGCCTTACCAATTATTTGAAATAATCAATAAAAATATTATGCATGCCAGGGTTAAATAAAAAGTGCCTTCTGACTGCCCCATACATTTATTTCTGGAATAGCCCTTACCAGACTTGACTGTATATGCATTGATGATGTTTATAAGTGTAGGGTATACTATGTTGTACTTGAATTGGACCTTTTAGACTTTATAGTGAACCCAGAACTTACCTCAAAACTACATGTATTTCGATATGGTCAGTGTGCAAAATATCACATGATTCTCAGACTGAACCAATATTTTTCACATTAACAGAAATTATATTTGATGTTTTATTAATTATTAAAATAGTCAACATTTTTGTATGATCTGACAGTGAAGATGTAGCCACACATAGGGATAATTTCTGATGTCTTATTTCAGTGACCCTCATCATACTTTGTTTATCTGCAACACCTTAAAAAAAACTTGAGTAGATTCTTCTACACAACATGAAGTTGCTATTTTATTTTTTTTGATCTGAGTGATATTTTGGGTTTTCCATACTGAAGCATAAATTTAACTATTTCTCCTTTTACCAGTTTGTTAATTGGCATCACATTGAAACCAGCTTGGCTAAACTGACTTCTACTAAACTGATTTTCTACAGGACATTAAGTTGTTTATTTCCTATTTTAATTTTTGATCTGAATGATTTTTCTGATTTTCCATACAGAAACATGAATTGAACCATTTCTTCTTATATTATGTGGAAACAGCAGTTGATGTCTGTCTTTATTTTTGATTCACACATTTCTATAAATTCTTGTACTCTTACTATTTACAGATTGCGTGATTTCGAGCTACCAATTCAGATAGATTCCGATCCCTTACAGCCTCTACCGTCTGAAGCAGAATTTGTGCTGCCTAAGCTGACAGAGATGTATTCAGTTACTTCTGCTGTATTGCCTTTGTTTAAACCTAACGGTCAGAGGTATATACATATTTTAACACTTATATATTGGATCAATGCAAAAAGACATATTGCAGTAGATCTGTTTTGGCCTAAACTTTTTGAACTCTTGAACTTAAATTGATGGTTTAAAAAAAACTTAAATTGATGGTTTTAAGAGGAAGAAAACCTTTTCAGGATTTGATTTTTCCCTGTGTGAACTCATGGAAAATAAGAATGCTATGTGCTACTTTTACAGATCACATTTTTGAAACTTTAAGAAAATCCAACCATAAATTTTGTTAAATACTGTGGATTCATTATTGTGCGTGGGATACCAATTTTTGTGTATTTCGTGGGTACAGATGAACCACGAATTTAAATGTTCATTGAATTACAAATTTCCTATAAGTTTGTATGCAGACTTTAGCAAAACCATACAATCAAATATCCATGAAAAGTTTTCCTCAATCCACGAAAATTGGTACCCACGAAAATAAATGAATCCACAGTATAACCATGATATGGTTAAAGTGACATCACGAGGAAGATTTAACTTAATTTGAGATTGATCATGAATATTTGAGCTAAATTAACAAGGTTACATACATCACCAAAAGTAATCTTATACACGCAATAGATAATAATGAGATGCTCTTCCTCTGTTTTAAAATAGGTTTTTGGGGAAAGGGTTCACTGAAAATTGTTACACAGTATTTGTGAATCAAAAAGTAATGTAGAAAATTATTTACTACTAAGTACTAAATATAGTAAACACACAGTCTCAATACAAAAAGAGCATTACCAGATACTGTTCAATTGTTCAAGTTTTATTTGGTGTTCAGATCTGCTTTTTAACAAAAAGACCTTTGACTTTTCTTTCGTAGAAATTAGATGGTGCAAATGTTGAAACAGCTATCTCCCATAAGTCATGCTATTTCACATATTGTTACTGAGGCTATGAAGATCATACCAAGAGTGGCAGTTACAAAATTTTTTAAAGGGTGATGATGATCGTTAAGATTTACTGAGGGTTCTCAAAAATATCCATGCACAGTAAAACCCTGTTGTATTGCCTCCCCTTTTTGTTGCAAAAAAATCAAAACTCTCAAAGAAAAATGGACATCCCAAACATTACCTGTCTGCTAGTCATTGCACAACAACCAGTCTTTAGTATTTTACTGAATGCACCAACTTCAGGTTTACAGTCCTTCCTTCAGTTTAAATGCCAATATTTTGCTGGAATAATGTTGGTGGTTTAGGAGGTTTTAGTGTATTCTTCTTTTTTTATGGCATTTAAAAATTTATATAACCATTAAACAGTAGGATAACACAAAGATGATAAACAATTTGTTTCTTCAAGTCATACATATATGTAACATGGATGTATGCTTTATCAAATTTTGTCATGATCTGTCATGAATTTCTATAACTATAGACTCTTTCAGTAGTTCAGTGCTGACATGAATTATAAGAAAAAACCTTTCTAAAATTGTCCATTTATAAATTATAAATATTAAGAAACTAAGATTTCTTTAACTCAGGCAAAGTTGACCTAAGATGGATTTGACTATTACCTTTATGCTCTTTTTAGTCATATAGCTCTTCAACTGTTTCCGTTCTTAAACATCTTTGGCTTTTAAATAATCAGCTTTGAGTGTAAATGATGAAGGTAAACCAGTCAGATGCATGAAATTTATGATGTGTTGTTTTCACTTTTTTTTCAAAAACTGGGTTTTTCACACTCATTGTATTGACATGTTTGACTAAATTAACTGGCTAAGACTTTGAATCTTGTTTATTCATACTAGGCTGATATTTGTAATTATTTTTAGAAAAGGAAGTGCTGTAGCAATGACTGATATTAGAAGTTACATAGATGAGTATGTGAGAAGTAACAACCTTCAAAGTGAAAGTAAAAAAAGGTACTTGTTGCATTAGGTGCTTTGTAAACTTTTGCTCATTTGCCCCCAAAAGGGAATTGTGCCTTCTGAATAATTTACAATTTCAACCTATTTCTTAGAATATAATCTGGCCCTTAGAGGTGAACATCAATGTAATTTTGTTTATTTTTATACGCCCGTTTACGGGACGTATTATGGTATACCGTTGTCCATCTGTCCGTCCGTCTGTCTCATCGTCCGTCCGTCCGTCCGTCGTCAACATGTCGGACATTAACTCAAAAACGCTTTAACCAATTTGCATAAAATTTTGGTGAATTGTTTATATCTATTACCGTGAGCTCCCGTTCGTTTTTTATAAATTTTAGATTTTACGTTTCCAAGTTATGTGGTTTTATTCATTAAAAAAAGGGGTTTTTTCCAGTTTTCGGACAATAACTCAAGAATGCTTTCACCAACTTGCAAGAAATTTTGGTTAATTGTTTATATCTATTGACATGAGCTCCCTTTTTGATTTTTATAAATTTTAGATTTTACGTTTCCAAGTTACGGGGTTTTATTCATAAAAAAAAAGGGGGATTTTCCAGTTTTCGGATAATAACTCAAAAATGCTTTCAGCAGTTCTCATGAAACTTTGATGAATTGTTGATATCTATTGATGTAAGCTCCCTTTAGAATTTTATGAATTTTAAATTTTACATTTCCAAGTTATGGGGTTTTATTCATTAAAAAAGGGGGATTTTCCAGTTTTCAGACAATAACTCAAAAATGCTTTCAGCAATTCTCATGAAACTTTGGTGAATTATTTATAGTTATTGATGTAATCTCCCTATTGATTTTCATAAATTTCAAATATGACATTGAGAAGAAATTGAACTTTATTTGTTTATAGTCTGACAACAGATTTACTAAGTATTGCGCAACAGCATAGTGTATTGCACAACAGCAAGAAATCTTTAATTGAATAAATTCAATTCATATAACTAATTTCAAGTTCTTTGACTACATTTATTCAGAAACCTATAATATGTCAAATATTTAATTACAATCCAAATTCAGACCTGTATCAAGCTTGAATATTGTGTCCATTTTTGCCCCAACTGTTCAGGGTTGGACCTCTGTGGGCGTATCCAGCTGCGCTCAGCGAAGCAGTTTATTCATTCAAATATTATCTTGTTGATACAGTTCGCCATCCATGCGAACTGTCAGTGAATTTGATGTCATTGCCTACTTTCCAAAATGTCTGATTTTACAAATTTATTACCAAAGAGTGTCCTAGATTTTAAAGAGTAGAATTGATCTGTCAATATAATGCCTCCTTGAATGTCTGATCTATCTTGGGATGCATTTATTTAGGATTATAGTTCATATCTACAGTTTAAACCATTGATGTATTAGCAACCACTTTACCCTACCCAATCTGATTTTGGCTATTTTTCTCTGTTTTTCGATTTTTATCTCCAAGAAGGGCATTGAATTTGTTTCTGTTTCTTAGTCTTAGAATCTAGAAAGATATATGGACATATATATATAAGGCCTTTTTGAAAAGTATGGAGTGTCATATGGGTAAAAAAAACAGGATCAGTCGTGAATGAGTTAGTATAATCCTTCAACCATTTGATGGAACAAATGCTTGGTTTTATTGTCTTGCCTGCGACGAAAGTCACGGAAAGCGAGACAAAGGGATTGCTTTTCTGGCGACGACGACGATGCCGTCAACAATTGTTAAGTTTTCTGCTTAAGTTAGTTTGATAGGAACTACTTGTGATAGATCATTGATATTTAATATAAAGTTGCATTACTATCAGTACATATCAGTTTGACGACTATTTTGAAGCCCTGCCCCCTAGGTCAAGGTCCAGTGACTTTGAATTAATTAGCAATTTTTAATGTTAAAATTTTTGTAAGGTGATTGTTAATAGAAAATAATGTAATTACTTATCTGACACTGTTAAGGCATGTTATACCTACTTAGCTACCTTTCAAAGAAGCAGCTGTGATCTACTTCATTTTTTTTTAATTTTTTCAGTCAAGTACAGTTAGATCCTATTATAGCTGATATAGTGCTTACCAAAGGAGAAAATAACATCACTCATTTGTCTTGGGAAGATTTGTTTAAAAGGTAAATATTTGTTTCAATTATCAAATATTACTGCCCAAGTGAGATCTTTACTGTTATAAAATTGGGTTCATGATGTTCATGGTTAGTAAAAAAGAAATTGAAAATGTACAACAAATTTCTGACATTTAGTATTTTCATTTGTAGTGTTTTTATACGACCTCAAAAAAATTTTTGTGGTCGTATATTGGTATGACGTTGGCGTCGTCGTCCGAAGACACATTAGTTTTCGCACTCTAACTTTATTTTAAGTGTATGGATCTCAATGAAATTTTACCATAAGGTTCAATACCACAAAAGGAAGGTGGGGATTGATTTTGGGGGTTATAGTACCAACAGTTAAGGAATTAGGGGCCAAAAAGGGGCCAAAAATAAGCATTTTTGTAACTTCCAGACATAACTTGTGTGTAAGTGTATAGATCTCTCTGACATTGTACCACAAGGTTCCATATCACAAAGGGAATGCTAGGATTGATTTTGGGGGTAATTGCCTCCAAATTTTAGGAATTAGGGGCCAAAAAGGGGAAAAAAACAAAGCATTTTTCTAGTTTCATGACAATAACTTGTGTGTTAGTCTATAGATCTCTCTGAAATTGTATCACAAAGTTCCATATCACAAAGGAAATGCTGGGATTGATTTTGGGGGTAATTGCCTCCAAATTTTAGGAATAAGGGGCCAAAAAGGGGCAAAAAACAAGCATTTTTCTAGTTTCATGGCAATAACTTGTGTGTAAGTGTATGGATCTTTATGAAATTGTACTACAAGGTTCCATATCACGAAGGGAAATCTAGAATTGAGTTTCAGGGTAATTCCCCGAAAAGTTTAGAAATAAGGGGCCAAAAAGGGGCAAAAAATAAGCATTTTTCTAGTTTCCAGACAATAACTTGTGTTCAAGTGTATGGATCTCTCTGAAATTGTACTGCAAGGTACCATACCACAAAGGGAAGGCTGGGATTGATTTTGGGGGTAATTCCCTCAAAATTTTAGTAATTAGGGGCCATAAAAGGGCAAAAAAACAAGCATTTTTCTAGTTTTAGGACAATAACTTGTGTGTTAGTGTATGGATCTTTATGAAATTGTACTGCAAGGTTCCATATCACAAAGGGAAAGCTGGGTTTGAGTTTGGGGGTAATTGCCCTAAATGTTTAGGAATTTGAGGCCAAAAAACTAGCATTTTTCTAGTTTCCAGACAGTAACTTGTGTTCAAGTGTATGGATCTCTCTGAAATTGTACTGCAAGATACCATACCTCAAAGGGAAGGCTGGGATTGAGTTTGGGGGTGATGAATCATAAGGGGGTTCAAAAAATTTGGGGGGGATTTTTTTTTCCTTTTTTTTCTTTATAATTTTCCATTTTAAATTGGTTATTTCTGATTTATATATAAAAGCAAATAATAATGATATGGTTTGAATAGGTAAATTAAATTTTTTTAAGTTCTTAGACCACTTTCATTCTGTGTCAGAAACCTATGCTGTGTCAAATATTTAATTACAATCCAAATTCAGTGCTGTATCAAGCTTGAATGTAGTGTCCATACTTGCCCCAACTGTTCAGGGTTCGACCTCTGCGGTCGTATCAAGCTGCGCCCCAGCGAAGCATTTTATTTTGTCACTGTTAAATATATTATTAAAATGTGAGACAAAACCACGCAACAGAAAAAAATCCAGTAAAGACATGTAGTCAGCATATTATAAATTTAAATTATCAATAAAATTCTTTTTGTTTCAGGATATTAAGCAAAATGCAACCAGTTTTATGTATTGAACATGTTGGTCAGCCTCCAACATATCAGAAAGGAAAAGTTGAAGGAATTAAGCTTGATATACAACAGAGAGCTAGCAACAAAAAGGTGAAATACTTTCATGATTAAATATGGTGGTATTCTGTTAATTACAAGAAAGTTCACTTTTAAAAGCATCCAGCAAGTATTTTGTGGTACAAACAATGTTTAATAACAATGCAGAAAAGGTGACTGTTATTTAAGCTTACAATTAAATGATTTCAGGCAAGGTATACATAATTGGACAGTATTTTTATGAGGAAGATAAATTTGATTAATTATAATTTGGAACTATAAATGTTACATTTTTTCCTTATTTGTATGCAATTCAACCAGTTCTAAATGTTTTACAAAATTTCATACAAATCCTAGCCTTAAGGGAGAAAATATGATTTTACACTGTAAAAGTTAACCTCTAGATGTCATTTTTGTGCTGTTAGGTTGATGTCTTATTGACATAAACCCCACTTCTCCTTTTATCATTATAAGAATATAAAGTAATTTTATGATGTTTAAAAAAGAAAAGCCTTAACACAGTATGAATTAGAAACTTTTTTTGACTTTTTGTTTGGTCTTAGAATCATATTGTACAGTAAGCTTTTGTAATCTTTTCAAACCAAATATTTGTCTGAATTCTAAAAAAGATTCCTCTTTCAAAATTATCAAGAGTCATTACTTAAATAACATTGCAGTGATGTAGTATAAAGAACTTGACAACAAACAAATCTTCATTCTATATGCTTAAAATAACATGGAACTGACATGCAGATGCCTATGGCTATGTTATAGTATTATATTGCTTATATGAAAATGTAAAAAAAAATGTTGTGCTATGTTTTTGTAGGTAACCCTGATAGAAAATATAGAAACCTTTGGAATAGACCCAAAAGAATTAGCCCACACAGTACAGGTTGGAATGGCTTGTAGTGCTACAATATCACAGCTACCACAGAAAAATAAAGGAGTACAGATTGTTATACAAGGCAATCAAATCAGTTACATAGCTGATTTGTTATTAAGTATGTACTGTACAATACAAGTAAAGTGGACAATGGGATTTGAAAAAAACCTACAACTAAAATTGCATGAAAAAACTATTAAAATTCAAAATAAACCAGATCTAGTTAAAAATTTGCTTTGTATTTATTGACATGTACAGATAGAAATCATTTATAAGAATGTAATTTACCAACTTTTAAAATCAAAGTACTTTTAACCAGAACAAAACTTTTATTACAATATATCCACCATTACTGGACATACAGACGTTCCTGTAAAATTTTGACGTCACAATATACAATTATGGCCCGTAGAAAAGGTGAATATCCAAAATAGTCAACATGAAAAGGTTATTTCACGGAAGGCACAGCCCAAAGTGAAATAATTTTTTAGGGTTGACAATTTTGGATATTCATTGCTTCTAAGGAGCCACAATTGTTTTATTATACTGAACTAACAGTGGAAGGGCCTTATGAACCATTGAAAAAGCACTTACCTTACTGTATCGAAACACACGAGTTAACGTTCGGAAATAAATGTGTGCCTTAGAATTTCCGGTATGTACAACAAAGGTAGAATCTTTTTGTAAAATATTGATGGCCCTGAAAAGGACCGTTTATAAGAGATATCCTCATCACTAGATGCATTTCCAAAGCCATGTTTCCTCGTCACTCAATGGGCTTCCTGTAATGTGAACGTTGCCATTTTGTTTACTTATGTCTCTGCATCATTTTCATGGAGATAACTCGTGTACAAATTAAGAAACTCAAAAGATTATTCACCGGTAAATAATAGGGTTATTCACCGCTGGTGTAAATTTTTAGGGTTATTTGTCCTTCCTTGCAATTAAGTGAAAATTAATTGAATTATTCCATGTCGTGTGATAACATGTTACCGAATAGAATTGTTTATAATAAATGTAAGGTATAATAAGAGTAAATGTCTGACACTACAAAAGAAATGTGATTGTTGTATGACATCTAATGCAAGTGACGCAAATTCTCTGGTCAAGTGTCTCAGATTCCTAAATAGCGATAAGATCTATTGGTGTTAACCAGACAGTGAAAACAACCTTGTCAAATCTAAAAGAATTGATTGATGTAACGGAAAAGTATCAAGATAAACATGTTCTGTCTCTTCTGTAAAACATTTTGAGAATCTTTTAAAATTTTAGGAATCTGTTTAGCTTTAAAAAAAAATATGTTGATGCAGCCAATTGTGTGATAATATTTGTTTAAATACTCTTGCCTTTATTATGTTGAAGTGAGACAGAACAGACAAATAGAGTGACATATAAGTTAGATGTTCAACATATGTCTTATGTTTTTTCAAACACTTCACATAAAATGAACATAATCTAGGGTAAAATATTGGTAATAGTAGAATTGTTTATTTAAACCTTTCAACACAATATTAAATGGTAAATTATGAAAAACATCAGAACACATTCATGATTCAAAGAGCTTGGTTATTCATTGTTTTTGTATACTTTTTATTTTCAGATAAATACAAAGTTCCAAGGAAATACATTAATGGATTAGAAAAAGCACCAAAAAGAAGATAATATAAGACACTATATATGTTATTTATTTCTGTTACTGATAAAGAATCATTATTTTAATTGAGTCGTGTTTCTTATGACCTGTCTGCTTTACCGTAATGAAATAACATCAATATTAATCAATGTATGATTAGCTTTTAAAGAAGTAGTTTAAAGTTCCCACTGAATAAACTCCACAGAGAACATAAGCTATTGTATTAATTGTATTAATTCAATGGGACAGGTTAACTTTCATGACAAAGACCGACTGATCCTGCAGAAAGGATTCATTTCTTTCTAAATAATGGGTATTACCTCTTTCTCACTGTTTATTTACTTCAAATTGATGTATGTGTTTTGGACCTTATTTACCTTAAATAAGAATATATGTCCATAGGACATTATGCCCCACTAGTACTATCAAATTTCCATGTTCAGGTATTCATGAAATCAGGGCCAAAATTGTAACTTGGCATAAAACTTTAAAAGTTCACGCTATAAAGAATATGTGTATTAATTGGAACCAAACTTGGCCACAATAACCATTGGATATCTAGTTTAAAAAATGTTTCTGATGACCCTACCTGCCAACCAACATGACTGACATGGATAAAATGCAAGTTTTGTCTATTATCTTGAAAACCGCTAAAAAGAGAAAATCTGACAGGCACAATTTTGTTAAGAATGTTGAGATCTACCTACTGTCCATTTAAATCAAAGCTGTCAGTTGACTTTATAGGAGTAGCCAAAATGATCAGCAGTATAGGCGTTATTGCGATTAAATGACAAACTTTACCCTTTTTAGCTCAACTGGCCTAAAAGGCCAAGTGAGCTTTTCTCATCACTTGGCGTCCGTCGTTGTTGTCCATCGTCGTCATTAACTTTTACAAAAATCTTCTCCTCTGAAACTACTGGGCCAAATTTAACCAAACTTGGCCACAATCATCATTGGGGTATCTAGTTTAAAAACTTTGTCTGATGATCCTGTCTGCCAATCAAGATGGCTGCCATGGCTAAAAATAGATCCTAAAATGTAGATTTTGGCTTAAATCTCTGAAACCAAAGCATTTAGAGCAAATCTGTTGTTGGGTTGCTGCCCCTGAATTGGTAATTTTAAGGAAATTTTGCAGTTTTTGGTTATTATCTTTAATATTATTATAGATAGAGATAAACTGTAAACAGCAATAATGTTCAGCAATGTAAGATCTACGAATAAGTCGACATGACCAATATGGTCAATTGACCCCTTTGGGAGTTATTGCCCTTTATAGTCAATATTTACTTATTTGAAGATATTGTCATGCTGATCATATTTGCTGTTTGAATTTTTATACGTCTGTTTACGGGACATATTATGGTATACCGTTGTCCGTCTGTCCGTCCGTCCGTCTGTCCGTCCGTCGTCATCATGTCAGACATTTACTCAAAAACGCTTTAACTAATTTGCATAAAACTTTGGTGAATTGTTTATATCTATTGATGTGAGCTCCCTTTCGTTTTTTATAAATATTAGATATTATGTTTCCGAGTTATGGGGTTTTATTCATTAAAAAAAGGGGGATTTTCCAGTTTTCGGACAATAACTCAAAAATGCTGTCAGCAATTCTCATGAAACTTTGGTGAATTGTTTATATCTATTGATGTAAGCTCCCTTTACATTTTCATAAATTTCTAATATGACATTGAGAATTAATTGAACTTTATTTGTTTATAGTCTTGACAACAGATTTACTAAGTATTGCGCAACAGCACAGTGTATTGCACAACAGCAAGAATTCTTTAATTGAATATAAACTCAATTCATATAACCAATTTCAAGTTCTTTGATTACATTTATTCAGAAACCTATAATATGTCAAATATTTAATACAGTCCAAATTCAGACCTGTGTCAAGCTTGAATATTGAGTCCATTTTTGCCCTAACTGTTCAGGGTTGGACCTCTGCGGGCGTATCCAGCTAGTTTCAAAGGAGAAGATTTTTGTAACAGATTATAAAAATTGTTAAAAAATAACTATAAAGGGCAATAACTCCTTAAGGGGTCAATTGACCATTTTGGTCATGTTGACTTATTTGTAGATCTTACTTTGCTGTACATTATCGCTGTTTACAGTTTATCTCTATCTATAATAATATTGAAGAAAATAAAACCAAAAACTGCAAAATTTCCTTAAAATTACCAATTCATGGGCAGCAATCCAACAATGGGTTGTCTGATTTGTCTGGAAATTTCAGGGCAGATAGATCTTGACCAGATTAACAATTTTACCCTCATTGGACATCGGACAAATTTTTATGCTCCCACCGTAGCGGAGGGGACATTAAGTTTTACCCTTGTCTGTACGTACGTACGTACGTACGTACGTTCAAAAGATGGTTTCCGTTCTCTAACTTTAGTTTGCCTCAACGAAATGTTATGAAACTTATACACAATGCTTATTATCACAAAACACAGATCAAGTTTGAATTTTGGTGGCGTCACTTTAACCGTTCTAGAGTTATGCCCTTTACAAATGAAAAAATTGCTGAATTAATCGTTTCCGTTCTTTAACTTTAGTTTGCCTCTACCAAATGTTATCAAACTTATACACAATGCTTATTACCACAAAATACAGAGCAAGTTCGAATTTTGGTGGTGTCACTTTAACTGTTCTAGAGTTATGCCCCTTTACAAATGGAAAAATTGCTGAATTTTTCGTTTCCGTTCTCTAACTTAAGTTAGCCTCAACCAAATGTTATGAAACTTATACACAATGCTTATTACCACAAAACACAGATCAAGTTTGAATTTTGGTGGTGTCACTTTAACCGGTTTAGAGTTATGCCCCTTTACAAATGGAAAAATTTGCAGAATTTTTCGTTTCCGTTCTCTAACTAAAGTTTGCCTCAACCAAATTTTATGAAACTTATACACAATACTTATTACCACAAAACTCAGATCAAGTACTATTTTGGGTAGCTTAACTTTTACCGTTCTTCAGTTATGTCCCTTTATAACTTTATATGATATGAAAGCAGGGGCATCATCTGTGTCCCATAGACACATTCCCTATTTATTAAAATAGATACCCCAATGATGATTGTGGCCAAGTTTGGTTAAATTTGGTCCAGTAGTTTCAGAGGAGAAGATTTTTGTAAAAGTTAACGACATCGGACGATGACGGACGCCAAATGATGAGAAAAGCTCACTTGGCCTTTTAGGCCAGGTGAGCTAAAAATTGTAACAACTTTACAAATAATTCTTTTAACATGGTGAACTCAGAACAAGGTCAAATGATATCTGTAAACTGGCACAGAAAAAATATTTAAACAAGAAGTTGCACACATTGTATTGCTAAGCATACCCCTACTCCCAAGAATCAGAAAACAGGAAGTTTGTATCCTATATGAAAAAGGACTCTCACATTACAACTTGTCACTGTTGAGCTGCAGACCAAATATGAAGCCATTATGTACAATGTAGTACCTGAGAAAACTGCATAAATATATTGAAAAATTCAAAGCATCAGAAAACAGGAAGTAGGTGTCTGACAGATCCATAAAGTGTTCACTTGTTACGAATCATAATTGCCAACCTGCTGACCAAATATGAAGCCATTCTGTTCAGTAGTTCCAGAGAATAAGTGTGACCAAATCAATTGTTTTCATTCACCATATTGAAAAATCCAGTGGCCATACCGACAGATCTGCAAGGTGCTCATAGGCAACAACTCATCACAGTCAATCTGCTATGAAGTTGATCTGTTGAATAGATCCTGTTAAAACTGTAAAGAAATATTTGTTGGTCAGAGGGAAGAACAGATACAAAGTGTTTGCAATATAAATCCCACTCCTTTATTCAAGGTATTAAATTTGATTGTTTGATAGGTACCGTACTTAAGTCTAACTTCAAATATTTCATGATGCCTATACATGTATTGAATAATACACTTACTCTATACAAGAGTTTAATATAGCTAAAAAAATGTGAAAACATTACAGTAAATTGATTGAAAATGTTTCTCTCCAACAATGGCAGTTCATTCAAAATTCTAACCAAATTGCAATTTGTTAAATCAAACTGTTCAACTGGACAAAATTTTAACTAATTGCCAATTCTAGGCAATAGTTTCATTGTAGCCATGAAATGAAGTTGAAGTTTTATAGGATTGCTTTATTTTATCACTTAGCACTTTAATGACATGACTGGTTCTTTTACGGCAGTTGGTTAAAATATCTGACCAGTTAAACTGATTTTAAGTTACTAATTGCAATTTGGTCATAATTTTGAATGAACTGCAATAGGTGGAGACCAACACTTACAAACAATTAAAATACACCTGTGTTGTAAATCTTTTGTTCAAACTCTCCATTATTATTCGTGAATGGAGAGTTATTTTCTATTGTCTTCTTCATTCATCCGGACGTTTTGCCCTTTGGATATTTCCATGGGCACTTTCTTAAAAAGTTTTCACCTATGGGAATAATTCTAGAGGTCGAACGCGGTATTGAATGAAGATGAAATCTTACTAAAACGACTGATACTGGATTTTTTATGCCCCCGTCGTAGCGGAGGGGGCATTAAGTTTTACCCTTGTCTGTCTGTTTGTACGTCTGTATGTCCCAAAATTGGTTTCCGTTCTCTAACTTTAGTTTGCCTCAACCAAATGGTATGAAACTTATACACGATGCTTATTACCACAAAACACAGATCAAGTTTGAATTTTGGTGGCGTCACTTTTACCATTCTAGAGTTATGCCCCTTTACAAATGAAAAAATTGCTGAATTTTTTAGCTCACCTGGCCCGAAGGGCCAAGTGAGCTTTTCTCATCACTTGGCGTCTGTCGTCCGTCGGCGGCATCGTCCGTCGTCTTTAGCTTTTTACAAAAATCTTCTCCTCTGAAACCACTGGGCCAAATTAAACCAAACTTGGCCACAATCATCATTAGGGTATCTAGTTTAAAAAATGTGTCCGATGACCCCGCCAACCAACTAAGATGGCCGCCATGGCTAAAAATAGAACATATGGGTAAAATGTAGATTTTGGCTAATATCTCTGAAACCAAAGCATTTAGAGTAAATCTGACAAGGGTAAAACTGAT